ACTGGGATTGATTCTGCTCTCGACCAGTTGTCTGATGACTGTGAGAGCCATGTTTGTCCCTTCCATCAAATTTCATGATATGATAGAGCTGACAATGAAATTTCCCGAGAAGCACAATCAGCGGGATCGTTTTTAGTTGGACCAAGTTTCCATCTCTCGGCTAGTACAACTTCTTGAATTTTCGCTACTCGATTAGTAACGAATTTATCCCACTTGCAAGGAAGTTCTCGTAACCACGCAGTTTTAATTTAAGTGACGGTCCAGACGAAAGCTGCACAAAGATCCATGCGTGGAAAACAAATGCATTTAAAAGGCGCAACTCGTGTTTTTGCTGTCAAAATTTTAACGTGTATTGTACCTTCACTGTCTTCTTGTCCCAGCTTTAGTTGATGCGTCAGAGAAAACATGAAATGAATGTCTTTGGTTGTCTTCCTTAGAAGATCTCGGCGAGACAACTTGATGTCTTCCAGTTCTTTAGGCTGCTGTCGGATGCGTTCATAGTGTCCAGTATGTGACTAACAGCATTTGATCTCACGAGATCTTGCCAATCCACATGAGTTGTATGAATGATTTCAGTTGAATTGTCGCATGTGATAACCGAGGGGAACACAAAGTCTCGAGACTTCTGAGAGTATTTGTCCTTTGGTCAACGGAGACTTCGTTTATCTCAACTGCGAAACTAAAATGATCTTGCACTGGGTTCCAAAGTGTTTTGATTACATAATCGTCACTTTTGATTAATAATTTTTCTGCTGCTTCTCGATAGTGCACTGGTCGTTCTACTAGCTTCGTGTTGTTTGATGTCATTCGCGCCTCTCAAATCCAGCTGTACCAAGTGTATTGATGAATCCGTCCTGCAGTTGAATTGCTGATTCAGTATCTGATGATTTTGACAGAAAATCGTTTACGTACATGTCCTAAAAAAGTTGGCGCCACATTCTTCAGCAAGCAATTGAAGAGGTCGTATCGAATAAAAGGCGATTCCATACGTAACTGGTCATTCAGTAGTGCTTAATCTCTGTCGAATTTTGATGCTTCCACAAGATTCGATGATAGTCTCTATCTTCTTCTTCGAACTTCACCTGGCGGTTTACTTTCGCAATGTCGGCTGAAAGTGCTACCTGATGCATTCGGAAGTGGATCAGAATGATAAAGAGGTCTTTCTGAAAAGTAGGTTCAACCATCAATTTGTCGTATGTTGAAATTCCGGATGTCGTCTTTGCTGATGTGTCAAAAACCGCTCGAAGTTTTGTTGTCGTGCTTGAATCCTTAAAAACGCAAAGATGTGGCATGTAGAAACAATTACAGCGCGTTCCCGCTAACTCATTATCTGAAATTTTCTCCATTTGGCTAAGGTTAATAAACTCGCTGATGAAATTATTGTACTTCCTGGAGAGCTCAAGGTAGAGCGTCTTGTAGTCTCACTACAGCAGGCTCGCAGACGACTATGTGAATTCCTCTTTCGATCGGAAAGAATTCAAAACGAAAGGGTAAGCTACGTAGTCGTCTGCAAGCCTGCTGTAGTGAGTTTTCAAGCAGTCCAAATTCTTTGAATGGCAGTTTTACTACAAATTGTCCATCTGGCCTGCGTTTAGTTGTTCTTTTGAAGTGCTTTCACATTTAAGCTCTTCTGAAGTCCACTTTTGTTCTGGAATTACGTAGATTTCTCGAAAACGTTGTAGATGAGAGTTGCTATCGTCGCTGACAAGAAACGTCTGTTATAGTGAAGTTAATCCATTGTTGATGTTTTATTGTCGAATTACAAGCAACCAAAAACTGAGATTTGATAGTCTGTTTGTCTGTTTCTTGATTCTGTTGTTTCCAATAATCAGATCCTCGTAGTATGCTGCCCCAATGATCAAGTCAATTCCCTGTGGATCGGCCAGTTGTAATTCCTTCACTGTTGCCTAATTGATGATCTTGAACTGTCTCGAAAGTTAATTGTTGATTAGCTTCTGAAGAACAAACGCTGTTTTTGAGATTGGTTCAATGTCTGAAGGCCGGATGAATAGATCAACTTGTCCCTTGTTGTCGCAAACTGCCCACCGCAAACCCTTGTTGTCGGCTTCTGTCTGCATATCTGTAAACGTTGAACAGCTGCTTCTGTTATCAAGTTGTTCTGTGATGCTGAAACCAGTACTCCTCTAACTTGCACTGACTCTACGTTGATCTCAAGTGGAATAATGGGAGTTTGCAGAAAATTTTCATCCTGAGATTTTTCATGAGTTGCTGTTCCAGTAAATTTTTGCCATCTGATTTCACTTTTGCTGATGTCTGCTGTGTTCCGGTGTCTGGTTTTTCCACAAACGTTTTCTGCTCACGCTGAAATAGAGTGTTGTGCTTCTGTCTACATTCTTTGCATCGAGATCCCGAGCAATCCTCACATTGATGTCCAGGTCGAAAACCGTTGAAGCTTAGCTATTTCACTGCAATCAGTTGAGATCTGTCTTTGATTTACAGGTTTTTAAGATGTTCCATCTGTATATCCGATGGTTTCTTCCACAACATTCGCCTTTGTCCTTGTGTGATGCAGCTAGATTTGTCTAAAGCGTCTTTGGTATCATGTTACTTCCTTTCCTGTCGATTTGTTGATTACCAATCGCTGTCGATCGCAAAGATGATGTTTCAAGAGCTTGGTATCTTTCTTCGAGAACTTTTTTGTTGGAACGCTGAGGTTCTCTTCCTGGAGTAGAAATTTCTTAAGCTTTCCGTGTTTCTCGTTGTTTTGTCCGAAAGTAAACAAAGAAAATAACCTGTTGGTTCACTGTTTATTAGTGGTTAAGCTAAGCGAGTCGGTGTTCCTCTGTTGTTTCCATGAGATTCCAAAAATCTTTAGATATTTCAGCTGTCAACGAACGCTGCTTGAAATTTTTGTCCGAGCGTCTTCGCAAAATCAAATGATTGTTGTCGTATCGGTTCTCCAGTATGTCAATAACGATGTCAAAACTGTCATTCGTAATCGTTATGGAATGTAGTTGTTTGTGCGCGTCTCCAATCAGAGTAGATTTCAAATGCTGTAGTTTTCGGCTCTTCGCCAGTCTCGTGTTGTCAATCACAGCTCGTTTAAACAATTCGATGAACGGTTTCCATTCCATTTACTCTCCAGAGAAAACAGATAAATTTAGTTTTGTTAAGTTGACATTTACATCTTTTGATCGACTGTCACTTGTAGAAACTTGTCTCGGTGTTTTGAGTCTGAGGATAAACTGTTGATTTTGATGAACGTAGTGTCCACATTTGTCGTCCAACTTTTCTGCTTCTTGAATCTCATTTTCTAATGGCTGCACATCTGTGATCAGTTCCTGTATCTTATTATTGAAGTTTGAGAGTTGGTCCTGTTTCTTGCGGATGTTGATTTGCAGTTGCTCAAGTCTTGCTCTGCTACTCCTGTTTCATCACAAACTCCGCAAATTCGAATGATCGTGTTCGTCAAAGAAAACTGTGTAGAAGTTTTTGTTCTATAGAAGAGTCGAATTGATAAATCTGTGGTGAAATATCCGATGAAATAGTTGTTCGTTGATGTCGACTGTTTCTAACCCGATGAGTGTTTCAGTGGGAGACACCCCCGCAAAAAGAAAAGGCAGGAACAAAAGTCTGCTTGGGGTCAAACCAACCCAAATTACCGAAAAGTTACTAGAAAATGAAGGAAGTGGACTCACTGAAATAAAACGTCAATCTATCGGTTGTACTTCAGTAATTTAAAAAGAAATTAGTACCGATTTTTTTGACAATATCCGTGCTGTACCAGTGGTTAATCAACCTTCAACTTCTCTGAAATTACAGCGAAGTTCAATGTGGGGAGCCTAAGTTGTCCGGATACCTGACCGCCGATTAATTTTTTAAAAAGTTCACTGTAATCTTATCAAATATAGCCGGCGGACCAGTTTATGTTGATTTATTCCAAACCTATTCCTAAATCTTAGATTTATAACCAAATTGAGGTAAGTTCCTAGTTTATCAACATGTAAACGTGAGAAAGTCAAACTGTTCAGAATTTTAAATTGATTTTCTAATTTAGTTTCACAAACTTAGTCAAAGTCAATAGTTTCACGATTACAGTTGCCTGCTTGGTTACAAATTTGCCCGGCTACAGTGAGTGCCTTGTAGGGACAAGCCACAACGCACTCATAAATGCCTCAGGCTAATACAAATATAATTTTAAATAAAATGTCCTTGCTGCCAAAAATGAACCAAATCAATAGGTAGACACTCGGTGGTAATAATTATTGTTGCAGAATTGGACGAAAAGAGTGTCCCAAGGATACACAAGATTCAAAAAAAAAACTATAAAGAACTTCAGAAAACTCCGCTTCAACCTCCGACATTACGCTTATAGATGCGGGCTTGAAAAAACCAACTAATAGTGAATTCAGATTTTTGTTTAAGACTTTTTAAAACTTTTGGCATCTACGTTTATAAACATTCTTACCAGAATTTAGCATCAGAGGTGATAAAAATCGGTCCAATTTCAATCGAATTTCAACAAAATTAAATTTGTTTTAAACAGGATTCCAGAAGGTTGCGACTTTGAAAATACCGCACTGATTATTGACGAAATATACAACACGACGGGTTATTTGGGCGAAACTAGATCTAAGGGATGCCTTCGAAGCCTGGACCTTGAGAAGTTCAAGTACTGCTGGATATCAGTAGTTGAAGCAGGGGGAACTCCACAAAATGTATTCGAAAGTACGTTTGAAAAAGAGTATAAAGAGTTCAAGCTCCGCCCACTGACAGTTTCCTACCGAAGCTCACATCACATCAGTGAGTTTGTGAGCAATTTTATTGAGTCGGAGTTGCCAGAGTCCAAATGTCAGACTTCCGTCTCTGGCTGCTTTACTTCTTCTCAGTTGCACTTCAAAAAGAACTTTTTCCAGAAGCTTGAAGAAAACTTTATAAAAAGAGACGAAGATTTTCTCGACAAGAAATTCGACCAAAACAGATTTTTGATCATTTTGACGAGTAGCGAAGATGTTGCACCCTCGCTTGTGGAGCATATGATGGAGGAATTCAGCTGTCAGAAAGTGGCGACCAAGACAGGATGGCCCAAATGTATTGGCATTAACAAAAAAGACCCATCAGAATTCACAGGATGTGAAGCACAGTCAGTTGTGATTGTGCTGGACTCGGATAATTTGACTCAGCTAGCTTTCCAGCCTGTGATTTTGGCTATCAGCAGGGCTCAATATGAAGTTGCGCTTCTTGTTAAAGAAACCCTCAGGAAAGATCGACTGTGGATTCAAAACATGGAAGAGAAGAATGAAGAAAAAGTGAGATTTGTGGTTCTGAAAAAAATACTGAAGCGTGAGGAACTGGACAAAGATACTTTCGGATTCAGGTAATTAACTCTCCTGGTAGTTGGGAAATTATGATGGGTTATTTTTAAAATTTATTTGTTCACTCACACTTTCATTCCCATTCCTCGATGGACGAATTATGATAAACATAAGCTATAAGATTGATTAACTAAGCTATAGAAGTGCTGATATAAGAAAGAAAAAGACGTTTTAAGATGAAAACTGCAGCGTGTGCTTTTACATCCCTTTTTATATCTTTTCTGTAAAATTTAAAAATTTTCGGAACTAAGCTATGAACTGTCTATTGAAACTTTTTTTTCTAGCCCAGAATCGAAAACATACTCGAGACAAACGACAGAAACCCTCGCCAGAAACACTGGCAAAATTAGAACGAACTGGAAAGATCTGGTGTGGCTGAGCCGGAAGTTGAGTGGTAAAATTGACAAGGGCCAGACAACACTGGAAGACATATTCCTCAAACAGACTCCTCGCATTGGATTTCAGCTGGCACTCATCTTGGAAAACACAGATGTGATAGCTGCATTCGTTAAACATTTAAGTGAAAAACCAACAGAAGAAACCACTACAAAATCATACAAAACCTCAACTGCACTTGAAATTGTGCCCGCGGGAAGCCAGAAAGGTATTTAGTATTTAGTTATAATGTTTCTAGTAGAAAAAAAAACCGTAATCCGGAATAAACTGATATTGAATATTGCAATAATACCCGAAAAGCAATAACTATATTTTTCAATTTTGGATCATTCATATTAAAAAGATGAATTTTCCAACCTTTGTTTTACATGAAAAATCGTAAAGGTATAGCAAAAGACCTACAGGGCCATGGCTGAGGATTCAACTAATCTAGCAATTTTATCCCGACTAATAAGTCGCAAAATAAAACTTTTTTCCCTAAAAGCAAAGACAAAATAACCAAGGATGACTGGTTGCAGGTAGCACAGAATTTTTCGGCCGTAATCATAAAAGGCTACAAAAACTACATTTTGTTTCAAATTAGTGTCATTTTATTGCATATGATGTTATAAGATTAATATACAAAAAACCACAGTGGTTCTTTTCAAAAAATGAATAATCAACAAAAGAAAACATTTTCAAAAGATTCTGAAGAAAAAATTTAGAGATTTTTCTGATTTTAGTTGCAGAAACAATTTTGCAAAAAAAAAATTTTAAGACGTAAGCGACCCTCGGCAAAGCGCTCAAGAGAAGTGAAAAGAGCGAAAACATCAACAAAACATCGTCGTCCAGGATCGTCGTCAACAAAACATCGTCGTCAATAAAAATTGAAGGAAAGTGTTGAGGTCAGACCATCTCAGAGTTTTTAGCTTTTAGCTAACAGCCTTAAGCAACGATGGACTTGAAACTTGCGGCTTTTAGTGGACTGTCTGAAGATTTTCCTGCTTGGTCGACGGCGTTTGTGGCGCTGATGCACACCAAGGGCCTGTTCATGACAGTGATGGGCAATGATGATCGGCCAGAAGCTGAGCCTACTTGCCCCGAGAGTCCGAACGCTGATCAGCAGGCAGCCTAGGATAGCAAGATGCAGGAGCGAGCAGTGTTGATCCAGCAGAGGAAATACAATCGAAACACTGTTTTGTCCCACCTGGCTCTGGTGCTCAACAAAACTACTTTGATGTACACAAAGAACGACTGCATGGGAACATATAGCTTTGGCGATGGGACGAAAGCTTGAAAGCTGCTTCAAGAGAAGTTTTGCAGAGTAGAGAGCCCGACGGTGGTCAGTCTAGTAGGTCAGCTTGCGAAGCTGCGCCCAGGATCAGAGGAGGATCTGGACAACTACTTTGTTCGCAGTCAAGAGCTGATGACGCGGTTGAGCGAAGGTGGAGAAACAATAACGGACAGACTGTTCAATGATTTGGTGATCAATGGGCTGCCTGACAGCTATGAGATCTTTCAACCAGCCAAGACGTTTCCAGAGCTGAGAACGAGGTTGAGGAACTACGATGACTCGAGAAACGCTCGATGAAGAGATAAGACTGGATATGGTCATTTAGCCATGCAAGCTGTGAGGAAGAAGAAAGGAGTGTCAAGTAGTGGCTGCTATGTGTGCGGTCAGAAGGGTTATATGGCGAAGGACTGCAGATCCATAACTGACAGCGGGCAACCCACTGCTCGAGGCAATGGGTCGAGCGAAGCAAGTGGGCCAGGAGTAAAGAAGCAAAGGTGCTTCAAGTGGGGGCAACCTGGTGATTTTGCAAGATAGTGCAAGCAGGGGAGGACAGGGTTCTTCAGTTGTTGTGCTGCAACTTCAATCAAGGGAGGCGAGAGCTGGAACGAAGGGAACAAATCTTGAGAATCCCAACAGCACTTTATCAAGTGTTGAGGGCAAAGGATCTGTGGAAATTGAGATCAGGGACTGCCAAGATGCTGTGAGGAGCTAAAATTTTCACAATGCGCTGTTTACGCCGAGCTACAATTTGAACTTGATGACTGTGAGCTCAGCTGTTGCTAAAGGCTCAAGCTTCAGTTTCGCCGCAGATTCGTCATATCTACTGGCTTCAGATGGGGGCAGCCACCTGTGAATCAACGCCACAAGTTCTTATTCCTTGAGTGCAAGGTCAAGAGAAACTCGATGACTCTAGTGACGAAAACAAGGTTGGGTACCAGTGATGCAATGTTGTGGCACCAAAGACTGGGGCTCCTCAACCAGCAGGATCTTTCATCGATTGTCATTGTGGGTGAGCTAGAGTTCTGCGAACTGTGTACAGCTTCTAAGATGCATGAAGTAGCACTGCCTAAGAAGACTGACAGCAGGGGGCAACGGGTCTTCGGTGACATTCAGGAACCATTTGAAGTACCTCGTATTCATGGTACACGCTATGCCTTCAGCTTCATGGACGACTTCAGTCGGCTGGCTGTGGTCAAGTAACTGGTGAAAGAGAGTGATGCTCTACCGAAATTCCAGGAGCTTGTGGCTTAGCATGGAGCGCCGAAGTGCCTGCGAACTAACAATGGAGGTGAGTATTCGCCATATTCATTTAGGAGATTTGGTAGAGAATTTTAGGTGAAGCAAGAGTTCACTGTGCCCAATACTCCCAACAGAATGGTGCAGCAGAGCGCTACAACAGAGTGATCACCGAGATAACTCGATGTCTGCAGGCCAAAGCAAAGCTACCGAAGATGTTCTGGGTGCGAGCAATGTCGACAGCTGTGATGGTTCGCGACTTGCTGGAAACTGGATCCAAAGGAGAAAAGAAGCAAGTTCATCGGCTACGACGAGAAGAGCAAAGCCTACCTGCTGATGTATCTAGAGAAAAGACGAGCGGTCCGAGCAAGAAGCATGATACTCAATAAGAACATCATTCCAGATGACTTCATTGTTGACAGTGAGCCATTACAAACTCTGGAAATATCAATCGAGGGGTTTATTGATTTTGAGCAACCAAGCACGACAAAAATCAGCGAAGCACGAAGCGCGCCAATTGAGGTTGATACTGTAGATTCACTGAGGGCTACTGAGGAAAATCAGGTCGAGGAGGAAACAGTAGATTTACATTCTGCTGATCATCCATTATAGAGGTCCGATAGGACAAGGAACCAACCCATTCGATACGGACTGGTCTATAACCATGCTTCAGTGACAGGAATTCAAGAGCCAAGGGGCTATTCAGAAGCAAAGTCCGGACCAGAAAAAGAGCAGTGGCTGGCAGCTATGGCTCTAGAGAAGTCTCTAGAAGCCATGGGAAAACAATTTTGACGAAGGACTGCAAATCCAAAATTGACAGCGGACAAATCCAAAATTTTCCTTCAGAAGCAAAGTCCGGACCAGAAAAAGAGCAGTGGCTGACAGCTATGGCTCTAGAGAAGTCTCTAGAAGCCATGGGAAAACAATTTTGACGAAGGACTGCAAATCCAAAATTGACAGCGGACAATCCAGTGCTCGAGGCAATGGGTCGAACGAAGCAAGTGGGTCTGGAGCAAAGAAGCAAAGATGCTTCAAGCGTGGGGAAACCCGTTGATTTTGCAAGGTAGCGCAAGCAGGGGGGACAGGTTTCTTCAGTTGTTGTGCTGCAACTTCAATCAAGGGAGACGAGAGCTGGAACGAAGGGACAACTCTTGAGAACAACTCTATGATGGACTACAATTTTGAAAAGTTATTCATGGACGATGGGTTCTTGCTGTAAAACGAGATGCCCTAGGAAAAATGGAGCGGTTCTAAGCCCGATATGTAGTGAAATCCAACCTTTAAACCCGAAACAAAGAGGATACTGCTGGCTCTTGGGGCACAAGATGATCTTGTAGATCATCAGATGGATGTTAGGTCAGCCTTCCTCAACTCTCCTCTAGCAGAGACAGTGTACATGGAGCAGCCATAGGTGTTCAGCAGTGGAGACAACCAAGTGTGCTTGCTAAATGAAGTCTCTAAGGGCAGTGGCAGGCAGGAAGATACTGGTATCAGACGCTGAGCACTTACCTACTTGATGAAGGGTTCACTAGAAGCAGCAACGTCTTCTGTTTGTTCTTGATGAAGGGAACAAACGATGCAATGATTTCTGTGCTGGTTTGGGTAGATGACATCATTATTTGGTGCAGATGTCTAGACGAAGTTGACAAGCTGAGTAGCCATTTCTCCAAACGATTCAAGATGGATGACTGAGGCGCATTATCTTGGTTCCTCGCAATTCTGGTCAAGCAGTTACCCGGGCACGGTAACAATAAACCAATTTCGATACATCGACGTCTGTTTGGAGCGTTTTCGCCTGGGTGAATGCAAACCAGTGGGCGCAGAGGCAGTATCCATGAAGGCTTAGGACTACAGAGGCATTGTATTCTCGTTATTGTACATTGCTAAGCAAACAAGGCCTGATACCCTCGCTACTGTGACGCAACTCTCTCGTATCCTTGAGAATCCGGGAAGGATGAACTGGGTGGCTGCAAAAAGGGTTCTTCGTTACCTGAAGGGGAGCAACGATCTGGAGCTGTGCTACACTAAGGAAGCTGGTGGTGTAAAACTTCATGGATCCGCAGATGCTGACTGGGCTGGAGATTTGGGTGATAGACCGTCAGCTACTGGTTACAGCTTTCATTTGCAGAAGGCAGGGGCCGGAATTAGTTGGAGCACCCAGAAGCAATCAACTGCAACCATATCTACTAGTGAGGCTGCCTACCAAGCAGGGGCAGCAGCGGTTGAAGAGGCTCTGCTTTCTCTTCTCGATGAGGAGGGCGTAGTTATTGACGGACCAACTGTCAACAAGGAGGACAACCAGAGCTGCATCAAGATGTGCAAGAATCCTGAGATGCAGAAGAGAACGAAATACATCGATGTGAAATACCACTTTGTTCGATAACGAGTGGAAGATGAGACAGTTGAGCTCCAATATTGCCCTGCTGGGTTCATGGAAGCTGACTTGTTGACAAAATCCTTGATCAAGGCTAAGGGGGAACAGCATCGTCGAACCTTGATGGTTGGAGCCTTACATTGGACTAAGCCAATTCAGCCTGAGTGAGACTGTTGAGGTCAAACAATCGCAAAGTCAGACAGATTATTTGAATCGTAGTCGAAACTGATTAAACTCAGACAGGGTCAACTAGTGATCTCAAACTAATTAATTTGTCAGTAAATAATTAACTGGTACTTTTGTTATGCTTAGTTTTTCATGCCAT